TAATGAAATATTGCCAGAAATATGTCTGATACCGCTACCATTTAAACCAGAAATGTTTTTGCTTAATATTATGCCTGAGGTAAAAGATAAGAAAGTTAAGCACTTAATTATACATATAGTTACAGCAGCAAGAATTCTTTATGCTACATATTGGAAGAAATCAGAGATACCAATGAAAGAGGAACTCTTAACAAAAAATTCTGAAACAGCGGAAATGAATATATTGACAGATTCATTGAAAGACCAAAGTAAACAAAATGTGAGAGAAAATTGGACATTATTTTATGAATGGGTGAAAAGAAGCCATGAAAAGGGAAAAACATGAGTAATGGATTACAACTATTATAAACTTGGGAGAAACTTAACTTGAACTGTAAAGAATATGTACTTTTTCAGGAACTGTAAAGAATATGTACTTTTTCAGGAACTGTAAAGAATATGTACTTTTTCAGGAACTGTAAAGAATATGTACTTTTTCAGGAATCATAATAGAAGACTTTAAGGATTTTATTAAGCATAATTAGAAATTATATAAATGAAACAAGACTGGAAGCAAAGGTTTAAGATGAACATTGTTTTGTAACAGTTATATATAAAGGGGTTGTGGCTCAGTGAAAGAGCCACTACTTTGCATGCAGAAGGTCCCAGGTTCAATTCCCAGCATCTTCAGTTAAAGGAATAAGCAGTAGGTGATGTGAAAGACCTCAGCATGAGACCCTGGAGAGTTGCTGCCTGCCTAAGTTGACAATACTGACCCTAATTGACCATGGTCTGATTCAGTATAAGGCAGCTTCATGGGTGTTCATGTGAAAAACGCATATACTTCTGTTTTGTATATATTTTATTCTTCAGCTTTTCTCATTCAACCCAGCCAAACGTCAGCAGTGATTAAATATTAATTAATTCCAACAGATTTTGACAATTTTATTGTTTGCAGTAAAACATTTTTCCCAAACAGAAGACTCTTGAGTCAGTAAACATTTCAAATAAAAGAATATAAGCCATAATTGAAACCATCTCTTATTTGTTTAGCACCATTCATTGTTCTGAATGTCATATCTCATCTCTCAAGCAGTTATTGTGAAGCATTGCTGAAAAAGTCATTGGCATACATAATAATGAAAGGAGACATTCTGCTAAAATAGTTAGTTTTACAACAGCATGGTCAGGAATTAACTGGGCTGTGCATAGAACCACATACTGTGGTCATTGTAGCAATTATTTGGAGAAAGAAAGAACTCTCAACACTTTAATTTGGTAAATGGGAGACCTGCTGATACCATTAAAGATTTCTGGCCAAATTACCTGTAATCTCTTAACCTACAAAAGTCAGAGCATCAGAATTCATGGTGTAGAAACACATGACTATATCAAGTTTTTTCCCTTCTCACTGCACAATCTCCTATCAATTCATCCACCATCTTAGGCCCAGAAATATTTAGGAGTACAAATGTACCTAATGAAGAAGTAGTGATTGCCCT